GCCAGCTGAGGGTGGCATCAAGCATGGTATGGTCCTGTGCAGTGCTGGCTTCTGTAGTGCTGTGGATCCAGGCTCGTGCAGGGGAGTACAGGTCATTGTCCTGGATGGACTGGATGCTGATTCAGCTTTCACGGAAAAAAATACTCCAGCTGAAGACAGAATGTGGACCTATTTGTGATTAAACACTGCTGAGGTGCACATGGAGTTAAAAGGCCCAATTAGCCAACTGCAATCACAGGAAGCCTTGAGGGGACCAGGAAACCAGATGACAGAGGCTGCGTGTGTGCAGCATCACTATTATCCCTCAGCCTGACCCTCTGGGTGGCTACAGCCCTGACTCTTTTTGGGAAGCAAATGCAAGACACCACTTAGGTTTCACATGGTCAGTCATCTTAAAAGCAGAGAGAAGGGCAGTGCTCAGACTGACTTTGGTGACCAAACTATAGCAAGGGATGATTAAGAACAGCCAGGCAGTTCTCTAGCCCCTCCCTTCAGATGCTGCTCTTTGAGAAGGGACCAAAGCGCTTGTGCCTGTCTGTTTGAAGAAGCAGTGGCCACTGGCTTGGCAGATCCCCCAGCTGGCAGCTTCTGGCTACAACCCGGTATTGTATGTTACCTTCAGGGCAAATGCTTTTAATCACACCTGGTCCACCCTGTAGCTTCACCTGAATGAAAACCAGACTGCCCAGCTCCCCCCAGGGCTGCAGCTGCTCTACTAGAATATGCACTACGGTTATCCTGAAAATGTCTCTTGTTCAGGCACTCCTGTGGCTACATACATGAACTCCAAGTATTCTCTTCACTACATGAGAGCGCTAGCTCTTCAGTTAGTTTCATTAGGGGAATTTCAGTGGCACAGGGAGAACTTGGTTAAGGCAGGACAAGCTGTGGTTTCCATGACAGCTGAACAGACCAGCAGTGATGAGGCAAGACAGTTAAGTTTCAGTTTTCCCTCACCAGGCAAGGGACTGGAATGTCAATGCTGAAATCTTACTGCATCTTGGTTAATATAAACTTATCAAGGTGACTAACGTGAGGGGACAGAAAGACAGCCTACTGAAATTAAGGCTGCAATGACTGGCTTAAAGAATGGAGACCAATACAAAGTCTCAAAAATCTGTCTGAATCTTTTCAGGGAAAGATAAGGCAGACTTCAAATTTGAGTTATTTTCATGTTTTCCAGGAGCTAAAAATACATCTTAACACATCTGCTTTTAGGTTTTCTCTTATTTATCCACAGACGTAGTTCACAAATACAGGACTCTCAGCGTCCTTTATTTTTAAGCTGCTTTTCTTAGCTTTTTTTACAGTAAGTAAGTCTTACCTTCCTGTGTTTCGATGCAGTACACCTGCCTGAACTGGTAATTCCAGTATTACTGCCTGCAATATTACTGTTTCCTTGGTCAGACAGCAGCATGTACCTTAAAGCTGTATGGATTTAGCCTTGTTATCCCACCTTATGCTTCAGCAGCCTTTAAGCACCTTAACAGACCCGTTTCATGCTGCCTGCAGTTTAATGATAAGTTATTCTTTCTGGAAGTGCAGGGGGCTATGGGTGTTTCAACAGATTGGGATTCAAGAATGTTGCTGAATGTTTTCCCAGGGCCCTCGCTTATTCTTAGAAAGATTTTAACCTTAATATTAGTCCATTGTCCAAAACAGCACAGAACACTTCCTTGCTATTACTCCCATTCCAACTACACTTGTAGAAAAGCAGCTATTTTAAGACTAGTGTGTTTTCACTCTTTGCATAGTTGCTGCTACAGGTTGCTTATCAAGGAAAAGAGCACCAGCATACCACTCAGGCTTTTTGGTGGCATACTCATGCTTTATTTAAAAAAAAAAAGCTACAGAATGCTAAGGAAAAAAATCAAGTTTACTTTACAAAAAACCTGCAGCCATTTTCAAGAGATCTGATCTCACTTATAAATGAAAGTCAGCAGGTAAGAAAGTAAATGTTAATTTAACATTTCATTTGCAGTACATCATCTGAACTTAATCACCCAAAACAACCAGTCATTCTTAAACTGACTGTTGATTGTATCTACACAAACAATCATCTATATATCACTTGATTAAAAAAAACTGGGAAAATTTAGATATAAGTGGCAAAATGTCAGAAGAATGTTATTTAGCCCACCTAAATGCTCTTGCAGAAACAGAAAGTTCTTTCTGGCTTTGCTCTCCTCCAAGTTAATTGCAATTCCTTTGTGTATTTAAGAAAGGCCTTAGTGTAAGGCTGCTGAATTCTGTTCAGTGAGGGGATTAAACTGCTGTAACACCAATCTATGTAGTTACCACCAAGTTACACTAGTGCTATGTCTTACTGTCTCAACGGAAGTGTGTTGTACAAGTTTCAAGTAACTTCAAAATGCTCCTGAAAAAGCCCTTGTGTCACTCTTGTGAGGTAGGTACTATCCTTCCTTTGGAGAAGAGAACAGACTCTCAACTGCTGCCCAGTACACCAGGCACACTGAAAAACAGGACAACCAGCCTACACTAGTATGACTTTACTGCTAAGCCCCTGAATTCAGAGCTTTCAACTGCAACGCTTTGTTTAGCACCACACTTTCCAGGAAGGAACAGTGAACGATGCTTTTGATTCTATCCACTCCACGGCAAGGAAGATGTTCAGCATAACTGCCTTGGAACCAGCAGAAGCACTGCCATGATTAGTCTGCTCCATTCATCTCCATGGACTACAACTTAATTATCACTGTTATTCTTCATGATCAAAAGACCTCATCCCTCAGTCTGACAGCAGCCACTCTTCTTTCTCAGATTAAATGATACTGGGAAAAAACAAACTACTGTCACAGACTGTCTAGAGGGGGCTACACGTATCAAATGCAGTTCAAGTGTAGCTAAACTAGGGCCTTGCTACCACTGCAGACATGAACTCTAAAGCAGTTTTTCTTACCCCAAGTATAGACTCATCAAGTCTTCACAATGTTATTGAACTGATTAATGAGCTGTGAAAAAGGACTGAACAGTGGTCCTTCCCATTAAGGCCACAGTCTATTGTGGTCTAAAGCTATTTTAGTATCTCTTACTAATAGGGAAGAAACCCTAGTCCACATCATCTTTCAGAGTCCTTGCTCCTCATGACCTTGCACGAGCAGTTGTGTGGCAGTGCAGTAAGCTTGCTGAAAACTAGGCTGGTAGGAATCCTGGATAATACAAATGCTTGTGCTACCATGTGAAAAGGGGTGGCATAGGGACAGGCAGAATTGCTATTTTCACTGTCTTAAAGTCAATGAAACTATAGCCTACATAATGACTTCCACTAACATACCTGTGACACTAAGCTATCTGTTTGCATTTAAAAACTGAGTAGAAAATTCAAGTACCAAAATAAAAGTTAAGCAACAGGATAATGCAACAACTGTGTTCTCCCATTTGAAGAAATCTGACTGTAGCTTATTCACTAGACTGACTGGCTTATTCACTAGAAATAACGTAAGAGATGCCCAAGTTCAGTTACCCTCCCAGACTAGAATGTTATTGCTAAACTTAAACTACAGCAAACTAACAAGAAACCAGGAATTCAAAACTGTTACATCATTTATCACGAGCAGTAGTGGACTGCTGGCCACTACTCTTATGAACTGCTTCTGGGGGAGAAAGTTGCTATGAACCACCCACAGTGAAAGCCAAGTTGTATGATCAGAAAGACTGTCTCACTACAGCTGGACTTTCCCATTGCCAGTTCCTATGCAAGTTCCTAAACTGTCTCTGATTTCAAAAGGCCTAACTTGCTCCAAAACCCAGTAAGTAAGGGATAAACTGCTTCTCTGAACAAATAAAACTAGATATTACAAATTAGTATCCTCTGTTCTGATCTGTTGTCTTTTTTTCCTGGAGTACCACTGTCTTGAGAGCAGCTCTATTGCCCCCTCAAGAGAAGGCCTTCCTATGTTGGGAAGAATGACAAATGTATAGCTTAAGGTTACCTATTACCAGAAGGTGAAAAAAAAAATTCTCTTGACTTCATGTTAGAGACATAATCCAAGAGAGGGAACTCAGAAGTTCAGTAGATCAGGTGCTGCAATAGCTACAGGGCTTTAGTATACAAAGCATTTAATATATAAAAACTTTGTTGAGTCAAGGCAAGCTTGAATATAAGCCCATAACCCTACCACAGAACCAGCCAGATTACATCACTAAAGACAAAGTTGTTCTAGACCATTTGAGTGGAGATACCTCTTATGAAGGTAACATTCAGCTGTTAAGGGATCTGTATGACAATTCCACAATCTTAAACTATTAAAAATATTCTGCCTGGGCTAGCTGTATTATCAGGAAGTTGAACAAAGCACCTTTGGCATTGCTTTTCCTATTCTTTATCTTTTCCATAGCAAGATAAGTCAAGAACATCTTCACAGTTCATTCTGGCAAAGTGTACAGTAAAATAGTACCAGTACAGGTAGTTTCAGAGCTTAGCTGCTCCAAACACACCATGACGTGATGTGCAAGTATTGCTCCGGGTTCACTGGCTCCGAAGCTCAGGCCCTGTAGAGCAACTGTAGGTCTGGAACTGAGCACCGTCACATGTGGGGATCAGGAAGGGGAGGGAAAGAAGAAAACAGAGGTCTATAATGAATGCCTCTTCCTGAACTCAACAAGCTTCCAGAGGGCCTTCAGACACAGGAAGAGATGCAGTTGAGATGCAAACAATTCAAGCCTTGTCCAAGTGCCTGAGTGGCAGCAAACTGACAGCCTGCATCATCTGCTTTTTACTGTCAGTTAAATTCCTGAATGCAACAGATGTGGATCAATACCTCAGTACTGGTGATCACGTAAGCTGTGCCTGCCATGAAGAATCCCATTTTGATTGCGTATAGCTCTTCTGCTTTAGTACTGAACTAACAGGTAGGTAATGATGGATGTGCATCTGTGGTACTAGTAGGAAAGACAAGGTGATAAAAAACCCCTCAGACCAATGTACTGACCCATGGAAAGAAGCTTGAGATTTAAAAACTGCAGAGGGTGAATTTCAATAGTTTGCCATTTAAAAAGATTATTTGAAGCCAACAGGTTTTCAAATTCAGTTTCAAGTGTGTACAGTAAATGCAAGGTCCTTGCCCCATGTAAAGCTTTACGAAACATCCAAATTTTGATACATCTGACATTCTAGATTTTGTGAAGGAACCAAGAACTTACTGAAAAGTTGTTCTGGCCTATTCAATAATTTCTTGCATAAACATCGCAGAGCTACCACTACAATCAGAATACCTAAGCTGCTGGCACGACTCAATAACTAACCATTTAACAAGACGGGTATAAAAAAAATTTATGTAGTAATACCAATTCAGCACACAAATTCCATGCTTCACAAGTTCTGCTGCTGTGTAAGAGTCTTCCTAACATCTATGCAGGTAAGTTCAGATTTTTAGGTCACTGCATGCCCAGATCAAAACAGCAGCAAAATATCTACCACTATGAGCAGCTATACCCAATTGTGCCTTTAGAATGCAAACTATGCAGAAATCTAGATGATCAGTGTCTCGCCACTGAAATGGGACCACACACACAAACTTCAGTGTGTGCACGCTGTAGAGAATAAAGTTACTTACTGAAAAAGAAAAATGCATACAGGTTCTCATACAGACATGACACAATCAAGACAGATTAAGTCACTAGACATTCAGATTAGGGGGAGGAGAAAAATGCTTCCAAGACAGTGTACGGGTGACAAGCCAGCATTACAGAGAACTCTAAAGGCACATTTCAGGTAACTTAGTTCTGTTAAGACCAACTGCTTACACACGCAGGCACAAATCTTGATGGCTGCTTCCCCTCCCACAATTTAAAAAAAAAAAAAAAAAAAAGAGAAGGGCATTTTCAGTAATATTAACACCATTCAGTTAATCTGTTCAGTCCAAATGTTTAGCAGTATTTTCCTTATGGTGATATGGATTCTCTGCACTACTCCAATCCAAAAGAACCAAACAGGCAGGATTAGTAAAGGTTCAACTGTTGCACTAGTTTAACATTTACTCATCAGAGCCCGCTGATCTCTTCTGTGCCCTCTTGTAGGGCAACCTCCTTGGTGAAGCTTTATCTAGATAAAAAAAAGATAGTTCCATCAGTTGCTAAGCTATGTCACATGTTTCATGACCATGTATTTCTCTCCCAAACAAAGCCAAACTGTTCTTCTAGTGCAATGCATCACCACAGAGAAGCCAGATCAAACAATTTAAGGCTTTTTAAGCTATTTGTTACCTAAAAAGAAGGTAACAACAACAACAAAAAATGTTCCTATTCTGTAACATGCAACTCCAGGCTATGGGTTGTTCAATTTGCCAGTTACTAAAATGCAAAAAAACCCACCACCCCAACAAAAAAACAATCATCCCAAAAAACCAAACCCCACACCATCTCCTGATGAAACCGCATGCTCTGCTGTTTAAAGGAGTTTCATGTTCAATAATTACACTTTTAAAAAGTTAATGAATTGTTTTGGTCATTACTGGTTTGAGTTTACCTGCCTAAAGAATATGGGATTGACTCTCCTTTAGACAGCTTTGTCTTGCATGAAGTATTTCCACATTCATACAAATTACAGCAGATATATACAGCAGAAGTGTTTTGGTTGTGGGGAAAAAACCCCACTTTTCCAGGAAGCATCCACACTTGACTATGAAGATGTCACTTTGTAATCAGGTATCTCATACAGGGAAGCCACCTGGCTTTAGCTGTATGACCACTGGATGCCAGAAGCATCATCCTAAGTTTAAGACTTTGACAGGCCTGTAAGTGTCCTCTACAATGATGGTCCTTATGTAGGTAGAATTCCAATCCTTGTGATATGGTACAGAAGCTACAATACTTTGCATGAAGAGCCAAAGTGACTGCTAAGTGTATCTGCTGACTTAAAAAGTGCATTTTCTTAAACAGAACCATCTCCAATAATTTCACTGTTGTGCAAACACAAGGAGCAGCCACCATGCCATTACGAGCCAATCAGTACAGTATGAAGTGTCTTTCAACAATAAAACAGTCAAGAACCTCTGAAGCCAAAGGATTCTAGTGTAGAGTTCCAATTAAAACTAACCTGGAGCTAAAGAAAACCACAATTAAGAACAACTTTAACATTGGTTTTTCCTAGACTTCAGGTATTAAGATATGAATACCTCTTTAGCTTAAGGGATGTGGGACAGGACTCAAACATTGCCAGAATTTGAACCCATTTAAAGACAGCTTGCTCTTTGGAAAAAATTAGCATTTAGAGCTTCAGTCTTTCTTGCTAGATTGAGGCTTTTCAAATTCCTGTGTCTAGATTCTATACTATCATTCTTGTGTCTCACAAGACGGCGCACAAGAAAGCTACATTTTCAAAAGTAAAACAGCAGTCCTTACACCTATGTAATACACATACAGTTAAAAAGGGTGAAGGAATCAAAAAAGTGAAGTCATCAACTCCTGGCATAACTTCATGTCAGAGCTAAGGCCTCTAGCCCTTCTACACTGAAAAAAGCTCAGAATATGCTTATTTCATCAAAACAGGAGTCTTTTTCAAGTAAAGGTAATTTACTTGAAAACCTCTGCAGGATTTTCAAAGCACCCCTCTTGTCTAGGATGGACTTTGTTTTACGTGAGTCTATCTCACCTCACACCAGCTAATGCTACCGGTGATAGGAGCTCACCTGGGATAAGGAAGATAAACCTGATATTAAACTATTATACCCACGGCTGAAGTTTGTTTCTCACTGAAAGATGATGCACTCAGCCATTGGTCATGATCAGTCCTCCACCTCCCTTGTGTAACATCAGCTTGACACTACCAATGGTAGCATGGGAGAGAAAATGCACACCTGCATTTTAGATAAAGGGTTCTGGGAACTGTTAGAGGAGACAACAGTACTTCAGCAATGTTCTACCAAAACTGTGTTACCACACTATAACCAGAAGTAACATAAACACATATTTATAATATATGAAAATACAAACTTATATGTCTATAAAATATGTTTGCGTGCATCTTTGTCTTTTACTGCTCATGCTGCATCACCAATCACTGCATGCAGGAAGCTGTACTTCTATCCGTGCCTAATTATCACATGGACAACACATTAAGCACTTTCACTCTTTAGATCACCAGAGTTTGCCTCACCTCTTCTACTCTGCACTGAAGCCATGGGAAAGCACAACAGAAGAAAACAGCAAGAGAAGTTAGAAATATCCACAAACACACAAGTGGTCTAAAGAAATCAAATAACTGGATTTATCGTTGGCATGTCAGACATCAAGTAGAACTCAGTAATCTTGGACTTGAGAAGGACATTAATACCAAGTCTTAGTGTGGCTTTAGTCAATATACACTTCTAATGATTATGGAAAACTTTGGTCTATCGGCAGCTTCCAAACCACGTACAGAGACTTTGAGATGACAGACATTTACTCTGATTTAAACTTCCTTTGTGATCCAGGTTTCGGGTAGAGATTTTATACTGTTGAAAAAGAGTCTACAGAACAAGTTGTAAGAGTCACCAAGCGTCGTTATTGTATCAACCAGTGAAGTTTGTTCTATACAAGACCAGTCTGCTAATGGAATAGTCTAATCATTAAGCACAGTGCCTTGGACAATCTTTTATTCCCTAGAAGAGGTTTATGCTGTTCTGAGAAATTGCTATCAGCTACTTACTCAGTTACAACTAATTGACTGTTAACACTCCAGTTTGTGGAAGGCAGACTACTTACTTATTTGATTTAAAGTTTCTTGGGGAATCCAGCTCATATCAACATCATTCTGATTTGATGTTCCCATCTCTACTTTCTGTACTGGTCTTTTCCTCTGAGAAAAATCAAGAAAGAAAAAAGATTTTTTCTTTCCACAAAGTTTTGACAGTCAAAGTATTAGAAGTAACTAATAATGCTATATTTAATGAATTGCAGTTATTTCACTAAGAGACAAACTTAAGGCTAGTCAATGTACGAAGCTGTCTTTGTAGCTTAGCTTTAACTCTCTTTACTGTTAGCAATGGCATTTATTCCACAGAAAGATATCAAGATTTTGTGCACACCTGGGCAAGTTCATTATACCTGTTATGAAAAATGGCTGACTTAAACTTTGTGGTGACCTGTTTCTTCATACTTTCTCAGATTAGCAAAATACCCTCTTAAGGCACCTTGCAAAAGAGATTTTAAAGCACAATAATCTTTCCATACTTCTTCCCAAGGGAAGCTACTTCAAAAGTATTGTAAGCCAGACTACATGAAGACATAACCTATGCATTACATGGAGATGAGAATTAAGCTTTCAACAGCTTTTACTTGCCAGACCACTTACACAGACAAACCCTTAGCTGCTACAGCATTATAAATGGAATCCAGAAGGCCCTAATCAACATTATGGCAAAGCACTGACAAGAACTAAATGAAGGACTAGACAGCTTTTTTCCCCAAAGTTTGACCTAGATTAAACTAACAGATAGGAAAAGAGAGCATGGGGAAAGTCTACCCAGTTAAGTATTGAATTAGTAGCTGCACACATCAGAGACTGGAAGGCATCAAAGCTTCCAATTCAACCACTTCAGTGTGGTGCCAAAGAGCAAACCAAAAAAGCATTAGGTAAGCAACCTAAATATCTCCAATTACAAGTATTTTTAAAAAGCTCTCTAGTTTTCCCAAAAATCTTTAAGGTGTTAGTTCTAAAAGTCGATCTTCTGAAGTTCCACCTGTACCATCATGTGCCAGAAGCAATTACTGAATTGCATTCTTTTCATATCAGTAAGGTCTTGCATAAACTCACCTTCCTAGATTCTAGTAACTGATGTAGGCCAACAACGACAAGTAGACCAAGACCAGCAAGGAACATGTACATGAAGATCCTTTAAAAAGCAGTTTAAGAAACCATTAACAACAACAACAAAAAAATCTTAAGTGTTTAAAACAGTTTACAAAGAGGCACAGAAATTAAGCCTAGCTTTGGCCACATGCCCACTTAATCTTACCCAAGAACTTTTGCAGGGGGCGGTGGGGAAACAAACCAATGAATCTGAAACTGAAGTGCTAACAAATATTGAGAAATTATTCTGACTTCAATTTCAGAAACTCTCATCCTAGGTTTAATTCTGAAGAACAGAACATTTGAAAAATGCTGTATAGATTGAGAAACTGTTACAAATTACTGTTACAAATTAGTAACTGCAAGAACTCTTTTGCAGTATCATATTTCAAGACATTGGGTCACAGCTAATATTTATGTTTGTGACATCATTAACCACGTACAAAACCCTTAAAAATCTCTTACATGCTTTTAGTACACTACTGCAAAGCAGGTACTGCTGGGATCCTAATTTACTGGCAACAGAGCTCTGAAAGGCCTTGCTTATCTTGCTCTGTGTTCCACAGAATTCTACAAGTGCAAACAATTTTTTAAATCTGTGCATTCTGGTTTGTTTTGAAGATTTCTACCTGAAATACCTGTTGATATTTAGCAAGAGATGAACCAAAAATTATACCTAAAATTAATTTGTGGAGCAGGCAGGAGTTTACAGGTAAAGAACCTAGTCCAAGTTGAACATCTTAACTCAGATGTATGCCAAAGGAGATCATGGAGTTAAAGTACAAAAGAGAAATAATTGAACATCTCTGTTTTATGGTAATTTGCTATTCACAGGACATTAACTCAAACTGGTTCTAATAATCTGAGCTCTTTTGAAAGCTCCTTTATCAGAGTATCACACATTTTCATGTGACCAATTGTTCTTTCATTGATGCTATTCTATTTGACAAATACTAATTCATTCAACAGCCATTTCTTTTGGTTGACCTTTTTTAAAGGGAAGCTTGCTCAGTAGGCAATTTCTACCTGTGCCAGGAGAATTCAAGTATTCAGCACCGTCTCCAACTATTTCTGAGGAATTTTTTTTTTTTTTTTTTTAATTCACAGGTTCTCTTAAAATTCCACTCTTGTGTTAGACCACTTAAAAGCATATCAGCACAGCATATGCTTGCAACATACAAGGTATGTCAGATGTACTTAAGTGTAAGACAGAACAAAATACTCCTGGAAGATACCTGCTACAGACAGGGGTTAGAGGAACTTGCACTCATTCTTTGTTGTGCTATCTCATACTAGAAATACATCTTTCAGTTTATATAATCTTGGATTGTACTGGAGTGCTCCAGAAGCAAGTTATTCCAGTCATTACTATAGACTCTCTGCATCTTGTAACTCTTACGAAAAAGCAGAGTAGCTAACAAAAGCTTAACAGCTTTGAATTGCTATGTAGTTGTATAACATCAGGTCCTATTCCAGGCTTAAGCAGGTGTGTAAACTGCTCATTGACACAGTACCAATCCTGAAGACCCCTAGTATTAACAAAGATTTTAAGTTGGGGGAAAAGCTCGTATTTTCAGTCTATCAATGTTGTGCAAGTCAATTGCCTGCTACACCATCAGCAAAACACAGCAGACCTAATATTCAATAAAGTGAGGACACGAACTATTCTCATTAGCTCCATCAATAACCTGTTCTACCAGTATACCAACTAAACGGCTCTCCAGCCTCCTTACGTTTCTCCATCCAGCCCATCCTCTTTTTCAATAATTGTAACGGTTTGATTGAAGACAGCATCTTGAAACGCATTGCCCTATAAAAAAGTTTCCACATAACATTTTAAACCCATTTCTTGAACACATACACAAATGCTTCTCTCTTCCATGTTCTTGGAAAAACTCTAGAAAGCAGTAATTCCTGCATGAGACTCACTTAAATTTATAAGCAGCGCAAGTTTGACTCAACCTATAAAAGCACAAACTTTTTGGTGCAAGTACAAAGAACAGTCTTGGTATTAGGAAGAAAGTCATATCTAGCCTTCATGAAGTCACTTCCTATAGCATGAGATACTACATACAAAGGGCTCTTATTGGAACGATCAAAACACAAAGGTACAGAAGACTGTCAAACTTTGACCTGCACCAAAAGAGAAAAGAATCCCCTGTTTTAATCCCCATTTATGCTTTTAGATATTCTTTCCTCAGATTGCAACTACCGGTCAGTTATTTGCTCGAAGTCAAGTTTGCAGATACGATTCAGGCTGATAATTAAGTTTGTTAGCAAAGCCCAATTTGAAAAGCATAGTGAAATTTAAGTTACCCTAAAAAAAAAAAAAAAAAGCTTTAAGCATATTTTTTTCCCCCTTTGGTGGGTTTGTTTTTTTTTTTTTCAAAATGAGTACAGCCCACTACTACACAGTTCTAAGGCACTGTAGCTTCCACTGCTGACTTAACTTCAAGTCTAACATGTACTGAACTAAGTGTACACAGGGGGCTATTGTGAAACACGTAGGGAGCTACTTATTGTGCTTCTGCATCTACTGGTTTGCTTAAAAACCACAAAGGCGTTCACTGACTGAAGAGGCAGTAACTTCACAAAGCAGTTCCTTCCTGACATTTCCACATCAACCAGAAAGAATAAAATTAATTACATCAGGCTTACATTTACATCTCTGTAGTTGAGATTGATAACTAGTCCAAAAGGACGACCACCCATGGGCTCAGCGGGGATGAAAGAGTACTCAAACGTGGCTTGTCTCTGTGGTGGAACTACAGTATTCAGAGGGAGAGCTGTGAAGTTCTGGATATAAAACTGGTAGTCTTGAGGATACCGGAAAGAGGCATCGAGAGACTCGACAATGAAATCCTCTGTACCCTTATTGGTGAAGCCGACCAGGAATTTTACAATGTTGTTCGCTGGAAAGTCTAAAACAGAAAAATTGGTCAACCATTAGAAACTTTGTACACCACAAAGGGTGTCTGTAACAGATTCCAGTTTTTTAGAGCTTCACTGTTCTATGCACACATTGACATAGGCTAAGCAACAATAAAGAAGATGGTAGATTAGCACAGGACTCTTACCTTCACCTTTCACAAATAAGATGGTTGTATCAGCACTAGGTGAGGCTTTAGGTTCTCCCGACAAGTCTTCTTCCTCTTTTTCTTCTGTCTAAGACAAGAGACATTTTTGAAAAATCCTATAACGAACAGTGAAGCAAAGACCATGCTTGTTTCATGAGAACCCCACATGTCAA